GCAAGTTTATGGCGGATTGTACGGGCAAAGGTGCTTTGTATATTGAAGCCGATACCGATGTTGCACTTAAGGATTTTGGGGATATACTTTCTCCACCATTTCCTTGTGTTGATGAGCTCCTTTATGATGCTCCTAACCCAAATGATATTTTAAATAGACCTTTGTTGATCATTCAGGTGCTTATTTATAATTTTATTTTTTATGAATTTGGTTAAATATTTATTTATTTTACTCAGTAGTCAGATATACAAATTTATTATCAGGTGACAAGGTTGAGATGCTGTAGTTTTATCTTCGCTATCAATATTAGCCACATCTTAACTGATGCCAGTGGCATGATTCAATTGATTTTAGCCATGGCCGAGATATGTCGTGAAGCAACCGCCCCTTCAATACAACCTGTATGGGAGAGGCACCTTCTAAGTGCTCGAGATCCGCCACAAGTCTCGTCGTTTCATCGCGAGTATGACCGAGAAAAAAAGGGTGCATCAGTACCACCACCCCATTGCCAAACATGGTCCACCGCTCCTTTTTCTTTGGTCCCAACGAACTTTCAACTCTTCGCAAACTCCTAGCCTACCACCTTGATCTATGTTCGAGGTTTGAACTCTTAGCATCTTGCTTATGGCTTTGTTGAACTATTGCCCTGGAAAGAAACCTTAGGAAGAGGTCCGATTGCTATTCACAGTTAATGCACGTCCAAAGTTAAACCCTCCATTACCACAAGGATATTACGGTGCAATAACAACGGCTAGAAAACTCAGCGAAAATCCATTAGGGTATGCAATGAAACTGGTGAGAGATGCCAAGGAGAGCGTGACGGAGGAGTATGTGTCTATGTGAGATCAGTGGCAGATTTAATGGTAACAGATTTATCACGAGTAGGATTTGAAGATGTTGATTTTGGGTGAGGTAAAGCAGTGTATGGAGGGGTTGCCAAAGCTGGTTTGGGTGCTAAATTACACGGTTCGTCGCCATTGAGCAGAGAGGTTTATAAATGTTTTTTTTATGTTTTTTTACCTTAGTACTAATATAATTGTAGGAGCCGACAAAAGGTTTATAAATAGAGTAAAATATTAAAATCTTCCATAGGACCTTGAATTAATCACTCTCCTATTGACTAAATCTCCTCCAATATTGCTTTAATATGATTATCCATTGATCGACACTCAATTTTTAAAGGTATGTAATTAAATAATATTATATTTATTATTTTTTAATTAGAATTATTTGATCTTATATTTAATTTTAGTATTCATTTAGTTAATCTAATAATTGTTAAGGTGAATGGTGATTACTAAATTTGATTTTTTTACGTCTGTGAATTAATTTTATATAAATGCAACTTGCCATGGAGAAAAATCCAAAAAGTATTGAGCTTTTTAATAGAAAAGTGGGGAAACTTTGAAAAATACAAGTACAAACAAATAATGAGGCATCGACTGCTATTGACTCTTCGGAAGTTCCTACTACTGTTGAAGAAGCTGTAGAAATTGAATGTAATGTTCGACACTTTCTTTAATTGTTGGTTCGTTTTGAAAACTTACATTTAATTATTTGTTATATAGTTGAAAATAGTAGAACACGCAAGACTAGAGGACATACAACATTGAAGAAATTATACCAACTTCCTCCTGGGCACCGTGTGAAAGTTTCAAAAAATGATGTCGGTCAACCTATTGGCCCAGAAGCACATCTCCTATCCGGTTACTTAGGCATAGTTGCACGTAATGCTAATCTTTTACCGATCAATAATAAGTCATGGCGTGAAATGTCAAATAGTAACAAAAATCAGGCTTTGGATTTTGTTAAGGTAATAATGTCATTATAATAGACAATCCATAACAGTTCAATAGTAATTTATACTTACTTTGAACACTTATGTTATTTGTAGGAGAAATTTTCTTTAGAGGTCTCAGACGATTATTTGAAGCAAGTGTTAGAGAAGAGATAGAGAGACCACAAGAGATCATTAAAAAAGAAATACTTCAAGAATGATCTCAGCCTTGAAGAGAAGCTACAAACTGTCCCACCTGGAATGCTCAGGTATCAATGGGAAGATGCAGTTCATGTTTTGGAGTTTAAAGAAATGACATGTATGATGTATTTTTCAAAAAATAATATAATATCATTATAATATTAACTTTATAAGTAAATAATTCAAATTGTAGGACCGAGCGCATGATGGGTGTTGCTAGCAGAGAACAACAAAAGTTTACTTACACAGCTGGATCGAAGAGCTTTGCTTGTATAGCTAATGATGAGGTATTATTGATTATTCACATAATGATTTACAGTTGGTAGCACTTACTAACAAAAATTAATTATATTATTAATTAATTTTTTGCATGACTTAATTTTTATTCTACATTGTAGGAAAATACATCTGGTTGTAAAGTTGGACGAATAAAGCTCTTCGACATGACATATACAAAAAAAGGATGGCACTCTTATGACTGATGAAGCTGCATAAATTATGGTACATTTATTGGACACGGGATTTGAATTATGTTATGTTTATATCTATAGTATGACATTCTTATCTAAAATAATTATTGAATTGATTATTAGGAAAATTTGAGGGATAAAAGGGCAGAGTATGAAGCTACAACTTCAAGTCATGGTATTGTTAATGCGGATGACATCAAAAATCAAGTTATTAATGAAGTTTTGGGTCCTGAAAGATATGGTCTGGTTCACTGTCAAGGATTATTCGTGTCTCCCACCAAATATTTTGGATCCAATTCATCTCAGTACATGTCATCACAGAGTCAGTCTTCCCAATTAGAAGTTAGTCGTTTAAAACAACAGTTGGTTGAAATGGATCAAAAAATGACTAACATTAAAGCTGAAAATGAAGCAAGGGAAGCAGAGAGAGAAGCAACATATCAACAAAAATGTCAAGAATTTGAAAATCGACTTGAAGTTATGATGCAGATGATACGAAAAAATCAACCTCAGAGTCCACCATCTTAGGTCTTATTTTAGATATATGTTTTGTTCATTCTAGTTAACAATGTTGAACTACATTATATTTTACGTTAATGTAAAGTTTGATTTATTATAATGGATTTAAAGTTGGTTGTTATGTTTATTGGATAATGCTATAGGTTAAAATTTTAAATTTGGGTAATAAAATTGCAGTAAACACCCTTGGCAAAATTTGTGTTAATTAGCAGCGTTTGTATAACAAACGCCATTAAATACATAATCAATACCGGTGTTTTAGAAGAAAAAAAACGCCACTAAAGTTCTAGATCATTTGCGGCGTTTATACAAAAATCACCACTATTAGGGGTGTTTATTTTTAGGTTTTAACTGAATTAACCGACCGAACTGAATTAGTTCGGTTAATTCGGTCGGCCACCGAATTAGTTCGGTTGGAGAACAGTTAATAATTTTTTTAGAATTTGATTAACGGTTAATTCAGTTCAGAATTGGTTAATTAACCGAATTAATCGAAATTAAATTTTAAATATTATATATATTATATATAACATATGGGCTCAGCCCAAACCATTTAAAACCCAATTAATAATTTAAGATCCAATAACTTTTAAACCTAAATCAACATTAATTAATTAAAAAAAATCCATATAAAATTTTTATTTTATAATTATATATTATTTAAATTAGTTGTAAATTGGTTTTTGAATTAAAAAATATTCAATTTTTATATAAATTTAAAAAGTTAAAAAATTTCAGTTAATCCAAAAATTAACCGAATTTTATTCGGTTCGGTTAATATTAAAAAAAAAGTTTGGTTCGATTAACAGTTAAAGAAAAAAAGTTTGATTAATTCGGTTAATGGGCGACCGTTTTAACCGAATGAACACCCCTAGCCACTATAGACATAGTCAATAACGTCGTTTTAATTTACAAACGCCGCTATATGTCACAATGTCACAACCTTTACCGGTGTTTTTAGGAACAAATGCAACTATTTGTCATAACATTTAGCGGCAATTTTTTACAAACGCCAAAAAAAAGGATATATAGCGGCGGTTTTCAACATCGTCGCTAAATATCATAACCTTTAGCAGTGTTTATGAAAACAACGCCGCTAAAACTCGTAACCTTTTGCGGCGTTTGCAGACGAATGAAAAAATATATCAATATTATATAAATTATTTAAAAATATTATAATAATTAGGAAAAATGTATAATTTTTTATATAAATTGAATGAAAAAATATATGACGAATTTTAGATATGATATACATATAACAAAAAAGATAATTCTTTCTTGAAAGTGAAGTTTTACCAAAACATGACATTAAATATTTTCTCTTTTACTTAAAAAACGTAAATTAAAAATAAATAAAATAAAATTCAACATGTACATATTTGTTAACAAACTCAAAAATATAATAAAAACATTAAAAGTTGAAGATAACAATATAAAAGCACATACACTACACATTGTAACTCAAAAACACATTTACAAACAATTATTATTTATTAAAAGACTCGTATTAAATCAAACATTTACTCATATTGCCTCTAATTGTTTTTAATTAAAAATTGCCTCTAAAATATATTATTTGTCAATTACAGTTTCAATTTTCTTAGCTGGGCAAAGAATTGATGACAACTTTTAATGATAGTACAGACTTATTCATTATTTATGATGACTGGAAAATGCGCATTTTTTTTTTATTAAACCTTGCCCAAAACTCTTGAAAAAAGAAGTGGAAAACCATAAAACTTGACAACAAGCGGTCCATGCACACGTGTAATTCATATTAAAAATGGTTGAATTTTAGGAACCACAAGTATGTTTCTTCTTCAGTTTTGCTTCTTCTTCTCACAACAAACTGGTCCTGCAAGCGGTCCATGCACGCACACGTTTAAGTTAACTGAAAAAAAATTAAAAGAAAAAAAAACGTGATTTTCTGCACTCGACCTAACTTTTTTTGACAGAACCGAACCCTCCTCGGTTTCCCTTTCCTATATATATGCATCTTCTATCTGCAAAATTCTCAGCAACTAACACTCAGTCCAACGCCCATGGCACTACCGTCCTCTGCCGTAACGTTTGCGGTCCGAAGACGTAAACCGGAACTTGTTGCTCCGGCAAAGCCCACCCCTTATGAGTGCAAACTGTTATCCGACATCGATGACCAAGAGAGTCTCCGGTTCAATATCCCGGTGATCCAATTTTATACGTGTAATCCTTCCATGCAAGCGAAGGACCCTGCTGCGGTTATTCGGGAAGCACTCGCACAAACTCTAGTGTACTATTATCCACTTGCTGGTAGGTTAAGGGAAGGGCCTAACCGCAAGCTTATGGTGGATTGTACGGGCGAAGGTGCTTTGTATATTGAAGCCGAAGCCGATGTTGCACTTAAGGATTTTGGGGATATACTTTCTCCACCATTTCCTTGTGTTGATGAGCTCCTTTATGATGTTCCTAACCCAAATGATGTTTTAAATAGACCTTTGTTGATCATTCAGGTACTTTTTTATAATTTTTTTTTTTGTGAATGTTGGGTTAAATATTTATTTATTTTACTCAGTAGTCAGATGTATAAATTTATTATCAGGTGACAAGGTTGAAATGCGGTGGTTTTATCTTCGCTATCAATGTTAGCCACCTCTTAACTGATGCCAGTGGCATGATTCAATTGATTTTAGCCATGGCCGAGATAAGTCGTGGAGCAATCGCCCCTTCAATACAACCAGTATGGGAGAGGCACCTTCTAAGTGCTCGAGATCCGCCACGAGTCTCGTCGTTTCATCGTGAGTACGACCAAGAAAAAGAGGGTGCCATCAGTACCACCCCATTAGAAAACATGGTTCACCGTTCCTTTTTCTTTGGCCACAAAGAACTTTCAACTCTTCGCAAACTCCTACCCTACCACCTTCGTCAATGTTCGAGGTTTGAACTCTTAGCTGCTTGCTTATGGCGTTGTCGAACCATTGCCCTAAAAACAGACCCTGATGAAGAGGTCCGCTTGCTATTCACAGTTAGTGCACGTCCAAAGTTAAACCCTCCATTACCACTAGGATATTACGGTAACGCCATCGTCTTCCTGGCTGCAATAACAACGGCTAGAAAGCTCAGCGAAAATCCATTATGGTATGCAATAAAACTGGTGAGACATGCCAAGGAGAGAGTGACAGAAGAGTATGTGAGATCGGTGGCAGATTTAATGGTGATAAAGGGTCGACCCCATTATCCCATGACGGGGAGTTGTTTGGTAACAGATGTAACACGAGTAGGGTTTAAAGATGTTGATTTTGGATGGGGTAAAACAGTGTATGGAGGGCTTGCAAAAGCTGGATTGGGTGCTAAATTACACGGTGTATCGCCATTGAGTATTTTAGTGGCAATCAAGAATGAGAAAGGCGAGGATGGAATTGCGATGTCAATTTGTTTGCCAGACCCAGCAATGGAAGTATTTGCTAAGGAATTGGATATACTGTTAAAACAAGAGATGGTAGGGCTACAGAGTAAACCGATTTTCATTTCTTCCGGTTTGTAAAATAATGACCGGTATAAAATCCAAGAATATTAAGAACGTAACAGTCCATGGTTTACCTTAATGATGATAAATTGTTTTGAGTCATAATGTTATAAAAGAATAATCATTTTAAGATGCATTAGAAATTAGTATAGAACAGTAAGCAAAATGTGTTATCAAATGTTAAGGATTTGACTCGAAGCTACGGTGTTTTATCCAGGTTTCGAAACCTATACTTGTAATACATTTTCAATGCAACAATGATAACAATCCATTATGGTACAAAAATATGAGTACTTACGTTGTACATTTAATAAAAAGAGTGTAATGCCTTGAATTTTCAAGTCCCCGCGTGTTAGTTGACCTTAGAGGTCTACAAACCCTTGTGATTACAGTCGTTTGGGTTAAGTTTGGGCCTTATCGAGTATGGATTTGACTGTAAATACCCATAGAAAGAGTTCTTTTTAGTTGAGAGTAGACGAGAGAAGACCAATCGCACCATTAGACCATCATTTTGACAAAAATGATAAAATTCATTAATTATACCATTATTTTGAGGTTCAAGCGTAAGAGTAAACTTAATCCGAGATTTATTGGTCCACTCTCCCTGGGCTTGCAAAAGCTGACTTGGATGCTAAATTACACGATGCGTTGCCATTGAATAATTTAGTGTCAATAAAAAATGAGAGAGGAGAGGGTGAAATAGCCATGCCAATTTGTTTCAAAACCCTAACAATGGAAGTATTTGCCAAGAATTTGACAAAAATGCTAAAATTCATTAATTATACCAAGAATTTGGGTATAATGTTAAAATAAAACATGATTGAGTTACGGAGTAATCTAATTTTCATTTCATCCGGTTTGTAAAAATAATGAGACAATATTGTTTTACCCAAAGTATTGGCATGTATGCCAAATAATTTTTAAGATAATATTTTGTCAAATATTATTGAATCTGTGATACAAAGAAATACCAGCAACAAATCTATATGTTCCTTTCCAAAATGAAGGATGATAGCAATGGTAGAAGTGAGTGCGACATGGGAAGTGAAAAGGATAAAAAAGTTATTGTTTCCAAATCTATATAGATGGTTGATCTTCATTTATCGGTTGTCTATTTAGATATATCTAAAACGCTCATGATAGAGCCCCGAGATGTACGCCGATATTGTCCGATCTTTGGACCGGTGACAATATCTTTTTTATGGTTTTAAGTTTTATACATATTTTATTATTATTATTTTATTTATTAAAAAAATATAAACTATAACATTAAATACGCATATTAAAATTTAAGTAAATAATAAAAAAAATATGATTTTAAAACTTGTTAAAGACATAATTATCATATTATCATAATAAAACAAATCGCTCCTTCAACTCTCAAAATGCATACACGAGTGCTATTGTACTAAATATACTAAAATTAAATATAATATCAAACAACTCCAATTTATAAATATACTATTACTTAATTGTTTACCCTTAAAAATTGACACTCGATTAAATTTGGACCACTTCAATAATTATCTAACAATCTAGTAAAATGTGCTTACTTTTGCTGTGGAGCTAATGGTTCTATCCCAACATTTTATGCTATAAAAATGAATACTTTATATTAGAACCAAATCATAGTTAACAAAAAACTAAATCGGAATCTAATCAATTAGATGTAGATACTCATTTTTGTCTGGAAAAATTTTATTTAATTATATATATATATAGTATTCCCTTTGATTTAATTATGGGTTGTTATTAATAATAATATTTATGTTACAGTTTCCATTTTCAAGGGACATGCTCTTAAAAGCACTTCTTTTGCACAAGGCAGTGAACCACAGGAGATCTTGCTCAGCATCTCATTGAAGCAAAGAAAGCTAGTAAAATCCAAACATCAGTCTCATTTATACAATATACCAAAGTAAAAACACTCAAATCCAACATACTTGGATATATAACAATTTCCACTTTCTAAGGAAAGAAGTGCATGTTTAGGAAATGCTCTCGACGCATGATAGCAGGTATATTGTTCGTCGATTTTTTCCTTCTTCCTCTTTCAGTTTGCTTAATTTCTTGGTTGTTCTTGTTTGATTATGCTATTTATTGATGAATTCTTGACTCTTGAGCCCTTGTCCTCTTATTCTTCTGTTAATGGATTGGGGGAAATTGTTCAAATCTTGTCAAGAAAATGCCTTAGCATTCTTTCCTCTAGAGATTTGTGAGGGAAATGTCATGGTTAAGCCGCCAACGGAGGATCTTAATGAGGGAATTGCATGCTAGAATTCCTCATTAGTTGCTTAATTTCTTAATCGCTCTCCCAATCTTGGCTCGCTGAAGAGGCTTATTAATTCTCTGTGGGGGAAGATGGGTGAGGTTGAGGTTAGTTTAGTGGGGATAGTATGTTTATCTTTCAATTTGTTAATGTTGTGGCGCATGATTGGGTCCTATAAATGGACCATGGCATGTCCATATTCTCCAAAAATGGGAGTCCAATTTGTAGAAATTAGAACTTAATTTGGATTGTTTTCATGTCAAGGTTCAACTCTCTCGGGTTTCATTAGAGTTTTACACTTCGAGGGGGCTCAATTATATTGTCAGCACCTTGGGGAAGCCTTTGTACATGGATAATGTTACAACAACTAGGAGTCATCTTTCTTACGCTAAGGTATGCATAGAAGTTGCTTCTGATTTTAAAATTCCTTGTTCTAAAAATGTTGTTCTTGGTAGTGGTATTATTGTTGTTGTTGGCGTGTATGTGATATGGTTTCTTGCTCGATGTTTCTCGTAATGTACATTTTTGCATTCTGATAAAAGTTATTCTAAGAAAGGGGAGGCTCAAGGTGTTGTTTTGATGCTTTCGAGGGCTTCTGCTTCTGTCCCTGAGGTGTTGGTTGCTTCGACTGGTGACTCATCCTCTAGTGAGGTTTTAGGGGATGATGTTATGGAAAATTTGTAGGTTGTTGGTTTTTCATTTGGGGAAGGTGTGGCTTTAGTTTGTGAATTGACTAATGGGAAAAAGTGTGGCTTGGTGGGGACTGGATCAAGTAAAGTGGTTACTCCTGCACATAGTTGGAAAAAGAAGAAGTCTCAACCTTTTTGTTCATCTTCTAAAGGTGGTGGGGCTGGTGTTATTTCTAAACACAAGTTTGATTCTTTGTGTTGGTTGATCAGGAAAATGCTCATTTGGTGGACGAGCCTCTACCTCGAAAGCCTAGGGCTTCTGCTCTTGGTGTAGCCAATTTACTTAATGAGCTGCTAGGTAAGAAGAAGGGTCAAGTTAAGAAAGCCAAGAAATGTGTATATGGGCTGGTCATGTAACATCCCAAAAAGTGGGTTAATGACTAAAATGTAAGTTTTTGAAACTTTATGGTTAATTTTAAGAAAAAAATGAAAAGTTCAGGGGCTTAATTGGAATATCTTTGTGTAGGATTGAATAACAAAGAAGTAAGGATGGAAGGGTATAATGATCATTTGATAAGAAATAAATTTAAAACTTCAATTTAGGGGTTAAATTATAAGTTTCTAAAACTTATAGACATATTTAGAAATTGAAGGAAATTTAAGGACCCAGTCCTGAATTTACCCATTTTTCTTAAATGTTTAAAAATAAAACCCCTTTCTCCTATGTAATATGGTTTTCTCCAGAACTTAATTTTTCCCTAGAATTATCTTTCCCATCAACCTTCCTTTGTCACCTCAATTCTCCACCGTCCGGCCACTGTTCGTCGATCCGACACCACCAATAGACTCATCATTGAACAGTGAACAAAACTTAACCTTTATCCCGTTGTGAATCGACGTCGTTCGCTGTAAAACTCAACAAGAAGTTTCGTTGACTTTAACTCGACCGCCGGTTGTTTTCGTCGATTCCGGTCGATTCGGCCACTCGATCATCACACCACCTACACCATTGGACTCACCGTTATCGTGCGCTCAAAACCCGATTGAAATCGTCTCGTCACTGTTGCTCCGTCGGCCTCACTCACCGATCAACATTGGATAAGTTGGTACGTTTTAAAATTCTACAATACGTTATGTTTTGTTGAAAAATAACACTTGCAAGAGACTCCCGGGGGATAGATCTACAAATCTTCTACAGCAGGAAATGTGTTGAACCAGTCTGAACCGACTGGACCGGTCTGACTAAGCCGAACCGGACCGAGCCGAATTAAATCGAGCCGTTGATCGTTGAACGTCGTTGACTTTTTTTGGGTACACCTATCCTGACATTTTTCGATGTCCTGAGTCCGTTTTTGCCAAATTTGAACCCGCTAAGTTGTTTTTCACTGATTAATCACTCGATTTGATCTATTTTTCACAATTAAGCTCCGTTTATGATGAAATTCATGTTGTTATGTATCTGAGGAATTATTAGAAGTTGGTTTCAAGTTCGAGGGTGATCGAATGGTGATTAATTGGTCGATTGATATGGTACAGAAATCGAGATATCGATCAAAAGTAATAATCGGAAGAGTCAACGAGATAAGATTGATGAAGTGAGAGATAAGAGTTATAAGTATTATTTTGACTAGTGAGGCCCAGGTGAATGCATACTATATTATATATGGTATTTATGGAAATAAGACTTGCGATAATTCTATTTCCCATATTTTAATGCATGATTCCATAAGTACAAGCATGTGATTGATATGATGCTTATGTGTGCATGAATACATGAATTATAAAAATGTAATTTCAACTATGTGATATGTCTGACATGTTATTCTATGAGACATGATCGGTGTGAACATATGAGAATAAAATATAAGATACATGAATATAATTTATAAGAATATATGTCTATGTGACAAGCTATGTGAAACTGAATTAAGTGAATACATGAAAATGGGTATATGTGTCATATGTTATTATATGTGATATGATTTACATGATTACATGTATATACGATATGTGATACTGAACTACATGAATATATAAAAATATGATATAAGTTATATGACATTGATATACGAACTATATGGAAGTGTGTACATGAGTACATGTATAAGTTTACATGTTATTCTATGTGCTATGTGATATATATATGAACATATGTGAGCAAGATATGACATATGTGTTTATATGAACACATGAGAAATGATATA